AAAAAAAAAAAAAAAAAAAGCTGGAAAGTTTATTAACAATCTAAAATATCCTTAGTCAACAGGTTCCAACTACAACATCAAAAAAACTATTTTTCGTTCAATTAGAGTGGGAGTGTCTAAATATTTTTTTTTCTTGTGTTTATCATTTTTATTTTACCAGTTTCGAAGTTAGTTGTACAAAATCAAGATTTACGATTAAAAATTATATTTCAATTTGGTACCAATTTGTTTTTCGATACCATATCCTTATCTTAATGGGCAATATGTGTGTCTCTAGTTCTGTTACATCTTCTTTTGTTGAGGGTTGGCCAATGGACACATAATTATAAGTCTGGCGATGAATTCCAAAATCACTTTTCCAAAAAGCCATTGAAGAACATGGGGGGCTTTCTGATTATACACTCACTCTCACACACACTCACACACACTTTTCCAAAAAGCCATTGAAGAACATGAGGGGCTTTCTGATTATACACTCACTCTCTCTCTCTCTCTCTCNTTTCTTCCCACAGAATCTCCAACAAAGGCCATGGATTTCCCTCTGACAATGTCAAGGAACTGATAAGGATTGAAGATAGGAAGCTCACACCCATCTGGTTTCCACCTCCATTTCATGAACTCAGAATCTGGTCTTCCATATTTCATACAATTCTGATGCTCGTGGATCGCCCAACATGTCGTGTTGGTGTAGTATGGGGCGCCAGGATTCGGAACCCATTCTCCAGTGAAAATGTCACACTTCTCATTCTCTGTTATCTTTATCGAATTCTCATCCGAATGGTATGGAGGGGATGATTCAGTAGAGTTCTTCAGAAAAGATTTGTACCTCAGAAAAGGGTAGTAAAGAGGGACGACTGTGAGGATGACTAGTGTTAGGGCTAGCAGAAGAACTGTCTTTGGGATTTTCTGAGCTGTGGGGTTTCTCCCAAAGGGAAGCTCAATGGCTTGGAGCTTCATGGAAGAGGTCTATGGAGAGAAATGGAGAGAGAAAGATGGAGGCAACGTCTCTTATACAATCCAGACATGATCTCATACATGTTAAAAAATAATATAATATAATATAGAGTGAATATGACCTAAATCAAGTCACTTCAAGTCACTTAATAATATAGTTTCATTGTAATTATTAAATTAATATCATGTTTTAATGTTTGATGAAATTCAAAATCAATTCAAGGAATATAACTAATTATGTAAATAAATTAAGTTCCAATAAAACATAACGTTAATCCAACGGTTATAATAAAACTACATTATTAAGTGAAATGATTAGGTCATATTCACTATATATTATGTTATATAATTTTTTAACATTACTACCAAAAAAGTGTGGATGTATGCATCTTTTATCGGAAAAAGCCAATGGGATTTTGTGATCTAGTACTGATTCAGATTGATTTGATAACCAAACTTTGATAAACTTTTTGATAAATGTAGGAGTGACATTTTCTATTAATCAAAGTTATATATGATTGTATTTCCTAAATACAGATATGGACACTGAGTTATTTGTCACTATAAAATTTGGAGAGAAGTAGATATTGTTGGTAATAGTGGGTGATTAATTTTAATAAGGTCTTGCTAACTTTGGTGTTAATAATGTTCTTTCGGTTTTACTTTTGAATGGGAATGTGTTCCCTACCAAAAGTCAATGGAATAGTCTAACAATAGTACTATTTGGTTGTTGGGTTAAATAATAGGTTGGGGGAAAGTCATTGGGATAGTCTAACGATAGTAATATTTGGTTGTTAGGTTAAATAATAGGTTGGGGGTGCAGGGAATATCTCACGGCGGTGAATATCTCGCGGCTGAGAATGCCCCTAGACAGGGAATACCTCGTGGTAGAAAAAGAGTATTTTGGGGATTTTCAATATGCCTTTCGTAGAGGAGTTTTACCAGAATTTGGTAAGTTTGGAAATTTAGTAGGATTTGTCAAGTTTGAAAGTTTACCAGGAATTGATGTATCAAATTTACTAAGACCAAGTGTATAGTTATTAACAGGTGCCTATAAATATGTTGTAACCCTTTAGGATTCGAATAATAACAATAAAGAAAAGCCCTTCTTGTGGATGTAGGTAAAATTTCTATCGAATTACGTAAATCTTGTTCTATGGTGTTCTTGACTTTCTCGATTCTTGATTGTTCACCTTTGTTGCACCTTCAAGTAACAAAGCTATTGGTTATTTGATCCAATGACAGGGCATTCTTCATTGGCTAAGTATGAAGCTGTGAAATTTGATGGCACGAAAAACAATGGGTTATGGCAGAGAAGAGTTAAAGATTTGTTGGCGTAACAAGGATTGGTGAAGGCATTGGAAGAAAAAGTAAAGAAATCAAAAAGGATGTTGGCAAATGATTGGGAAGATATCCAGATGAAAGCGGTGAATAGAATTCACCTCTATTTGGCAGATGATATTCTATACCGTACGTGTCATGAATGATGAATCTCCATTAGTTATGTGGAAGAAACTGGAGATTCGATTCATGTCAAAATTTTTATTGAACAAGCTCTATGTTAAGCATAACTNTTAGTTATGTGGAAGAAACTGGAGATTCGATTCATGTCAAAATTTTTATTGAACAAACTCTATCTTAAGCAGAAGTTGTATAGGCTTAAGATGGTGGATGGTTTGGATCTGGCTCAACATATCAATCTATTCAATCAGATTATCAACAATTTGTTGAGAATTGATATCAAGTTCAAGGAGGAAGATTAAACATTAATACTTCTGACTTATCTTCCTACTTCATACGGGAATCCGGTTACAACTCTATTGTATAGGAAGGAGACATTGACTACCGAGGAGATTGTAGGGCCCTGTCGGTGTGTAATCAACGGAGGCAAAGTATTATTGAATGATCCCAAGGTGAAGTGCTCGAAGCAAAGGATAATTAGGATCGTGGGAAAAACAAGGACATGAAGTGTTTCAAGTGCCATGGGAGAAGACACATGAAGAAGGATTGTCCTAAGATAAAAAAGGGCAAAGAAACAAAAAACAAGGAGAGAGCATCGAACACAACAAAAATAGAACAAGACACAAATTATGGTGATATCAATATTATCAGAACTGGACCAATCATCAAATAGGTAGGGAGACCGAGTTAATGGTTCACTGGTTCAATCGTTGAGTCAATTAGTCAGACCAATCATATAATAAAATANATTGTCCTAAGATAAAAAAGGGCAAAGAAACAAAAAACAAGGAGAGAGCATCGAACACAACAAAAATAGAACAAGACACAAATTATGGTGATATCAATATTATCAGAACTGGACCAATCATCAAATAGGTAGGGAGACCGAGTCAATGGTTCACTGATTCAATCGTTGAGTCAATTAGTCGGACCAATCTTATAATAAAAANGCATCGAACACAACAAAAATAGAACAAGACACAAATTATGGTGATATCAATATTATCAGAACTGGACCAATCATCAAATAGGTAGGGAGACCGAGTTAATGGTTCACTGGTTCAATCGTTGAGTCAATTAGTCAGACCAATCATATAATAAAATAATAATAATTTAATTAAAAATATAAAATATGTCTACAATATATTATAATATAATTTGCTATAAAATTAACACCATAAACATATCTATATAATAAAACACATAGCAATTTAAATTTTTATCTCCTACATATTTTTTTTTTTTAAAAATATCACATCACTTTTTTTATCACANTAAAATATGTCTACAATATATTATAATATAATTTGCTATAAAATTAACACCATAAACATATCTATATAATAAAACACATAGCAATTTAAATTTTTATCTCCTACATATTTTTCTTCTTAAAAATATCACATCACTTTTTTTATCATATATTCAATCATTTAATATTTAATTAATTTATAGTTGGACATAATTTTTTTTAAAACATTATCCATATACGATAGTATACACATGTTAAAAAAATTTAATATAGTTGGATCGATTTTTTGGGTGCTTGAATTTTATGTTTCATCGTGCTTGCAAACACAGGTTATGATTAATAGTTTTATAAAATTAAATAAAAATAACTAAAACTTTTGATAATGCTGATATACCAGGCATGCCTTTTTTCNCATATACGATAGTATACACATGTTAAAAAAATTTAATATAGTTGGATCGATTTTTTGGGTGCTTGAATTTTATGTTTCATCGTGCTTGAAGACATAGGTTATGACTAATAGTTTTATAAAATTAAATAAAAATAACTAAAACTTTTGATGATGCTGATATACCAGGCATGCCTTTTTGCCTTCTTAAGGCAATGGCCTTTTCGAGGCATGCAATAATATTCTTTAAATTTAAAATCACTGATAGAAAATAAAATACAAATGAACCGGTGTGTGTGTGTGTGTGTGTGTGTTCAATTATCTCATTTGTGTCGTGTGTGTGTGTATGTGTGTGTGTGTGTGTGAGAGAGAGAGAGAGAGAGAAATAATAGAAGAAAAGACTTACAAGCAGAAGGAAGGCGAAAGGAGAGAGATCAAATAGCTGGCTCAATTGCCAGAGTTGAGTCTTCTGATCTCCTGCTGCTACCTTGTTGTGTTGCGGTTGTGGTGTTGTTGCTATGCATTCGGAGAAGTGAAGACAGAACAGGAAGGGCTCGATTTAAGGCAATTTTGCCCTAAAAAATTGATTTTAATATTTTTAGTCCCTTAAAATTTGAATCGTCTGGTTCAACAATCCATCCAATTCTCCGGTGTTTTATAAAACAGTCCGATTTATAGGTTCAAAGCTGGTTTGATTCCCTATCTAGTCTAATTCAAAAATCGGACCAGCTTAGGGTTCGGTTCATAGTCCAACCAGTTCGACCGGCCGATCTAGTTCGATTTTGATAACATTGGGTGATAGTGATTTACTTTCGATCTNTTTATAGGTTCAAAGCTGGTTTGATTCCCTATCTAGTCTAATTCAAAAATCGGACTAGCTTAGGATTCGGTTCACAGTCCAACCAGTTCGATCGGCCGATCTAGTTCGATTTTGATAACATTGGGTGATAGTGATTTACTTTCGATCTCAAGAAATTATGATGACATGGCAGACTCATGGATTCCGCATGCTATAATAACATGTCGTCTAATCAAGATTGGTTCGACACTTACATGTTAGTTAATTGTGGTATTGTTCTAATGGGTAATGATGCATTATGTAAAATTGGAATTGGCGCAGTTAGGGTTAAGATGTTTGATGGTGTTGTGAAAACTTTGGGTGATGTTAGACATGTTCCAAATTTGAGAAAAAAATCTGATTTTTTTGGAAACCTAACTCCAATGGCTGTGGTTACAAGGCAAAAGGTGGAAGATTGATGGTAACCAAAGATTCCATGGTGATCATGAATGGACATAAGATTTCAAAGAATATCTACAAGTTGGAAGAAAGTTATATTGTAGGTGGAGTTGTTACAGATAAATATTTTGAGACTGAAACTAATGACACTTTGTCATAGCATATGCGATTAGGGCATATGGGAGAACATGACATCATGGAACCAAGGGTGGAGTTATGCATGATCCAGGGTGGGCAAGTGCTCCCCCTCAAAAAAAATTATTAGATATCTGTATAATATATCACTTGTGCTCATCTAAAAACCAAAGACAAAAATACTAGGTCCACCACCGTCCACCTAAAAGAATTAAAAAACCAAGCATGTTTAAAACAAAAAAACTTCNTATATTTGTATAATATATCACTTGTGCTCATCCAAAACCAAAGACAAAAATACTAGGTCCACTACCGTCCACCCAAAAGAATTAAAAAACCAAGCATATTCAAAACAAAAAAACTTCTGGACCCATATTGTTGAAATCTGAGTATTGTACAAAAAATTATAACTTAATCACGTTAAATTGTGACTCAAATAGATCGAGTTGCAACTCAATGGAATTGAGTTAGCATTGATCCTCAAAATTTGGGATGGATCCCAAATTGTTGAAATTTGGGATCACTTTAAT